CCAGAACAGCTGTGCGGGGAGGGGTCCTGAGGGGTTCATTGGGCCGGGCTGACTCTGCGGGGCACCTGAGAACTTGGGGTTGGTGCCCCCCAAAGCCCAGAACCAGAGCCAGCTGAGCAGCACGAAGCCCCGCCCTCCCGGTGGCGCCGTCTCACCTGGTGTCCCCTCCCCAGACCTGGCCCCAGGCATCGAGGAGATCTACGAGGAGAGCCAGCAGGTGTTCCTGGCCCCCGGACACCCGCAGGACGGGCAGGTGATCTTCTACAAGGTGAGCAGACTCCGGCCGCCCCGACCCCGGCCCCGCGCCCCCACCCCCATTCTTAACACCACGTGCCTGGCAGATCACTGTGGACCGTGGCCTGAAGTGGGAGGAGGCATACACCAGGTCACTGGAGCTGACAGGCCCCCATGATGGCTTCTATCTCTCCTACAAGGTGGGCAGACCTGGGGACAGGACCCCAGGCTTGGGGAAAGGGGGACAGTGCTAGAAGCCGGGTACGGCAGGGGGCTAGGGGAGGGGAGTGAGGGGCAGCTTGCAGCCTCATCCCCTCCCCAGCACACCCACCCTGGGAACCCCTGGGCCGTGTGCCTTTCTGCCCCCAACCTCACAAGACACCCCTTCCCCCCCCCCCCCCCCCAGGCTCGTGGCAACAAACCGAGCTGCCTCCTGGCTGAGCAGAACCACAGCAATCTCTTCACCTTGTATAAGCCCAACATCGGCCGGCAGAGTCAGCTCGAGTCCTTCGACAGCCTGTGCCGGAAGTTCCACCGGGTAGGGATGGGGACGGGGAGAGGAGGGAGGCAGGGAGGCCCCAGGATGCTCATGTCCCTGGGCTTATGTGTCCCTATTGTGTCCCACTGTGACCCTTTCCTGCTGGGGCTTCTGCAGGCAGGCCCAGGCCTGCCCTCCGTGCGCAGCCCCGCTGGCCACAGGAGGGGGCTGCCAGACTTGAGATGAGCCAGCCTGGGGTGCTCCAAGCTTCATTTTCCCCAGTTGTGAACTAGGAGTGTGGACGGGTGTCTCACTCAGGGTCTCACACGACTGTCCCCCTAGGTGACGGCGGAGGAGGCCAGGGAGCTCTGGGAGAGTAACTACACCTTGTCACTGAAGCACTGCAGCCACGCTTCGTGGTGAGGACCCGGGCTGGACTGAGTGGGAGGGGGCACACTGCATTAGACAGCCCTGCCCCATTTTCTCTGGGCAGCTCTGCTAGGGATGGTCCCGCACACCACACAGGGGAAGGGGCCCTTTGGGCATGTGGGGCATCCTAGGACCCCCAAGAGTTGGCATTTACGGAGACGAGCTGAGCTAGAATGGGGGAGGAGCCTGCAGATTCTCATGGGCAGGTGTGGAGGGCACCGAGTGTCTGAGCTGCCCTGCCTGCCTGCCGCCCAGGAACCGGCAATGCCGGCTGGTGCGGGAAGGCAAGGACTGCGTGCAGGGCCTGAGGCTGCGGCACCACTACATGCTGTGCGGGGCGCTGTTGCGCGTGTGGGGCCGCATCGCTGCTGTCATGGCCGACGTCACCAGCAGCAGCTACCTGCAGATTGTTCGCCTCAAGACCAAGGACAAGAAGAAGCAAGTCGGTGAGTGGGTGGGCGAGCCAGTGGGAAAGGGGATTATGGGGATTGGTGGGCTCTGCACCAGAGGCCTGACCTGCCGTCCCCATACGCCCTGCAGGCATCAAGATCCCAGAGGGCTGTGTGCCCCGTGTGCTTCAGGAGCTGCAACACATGGACGCAGACGTGAAGCGCAAGAAAGCGCATGGCCAGGGCTTCCCTGTGCCGTCACCCGCCCTGTGCCCACTGGCACTGCCCTGTGGTCCTGGAGAGGTCCTGGACCTCACGTACAGCCCACCAGCCCAGGTCTTCCCACCGCCCTCGCCCTTCGCCTTTCCACTGCCCCAGGACCCTGCGCCCACTCTGCTCCTGGGTACCCCGGATGCCCCAGCTGACCCTGCTGCCCTCGTGCACGATGGCTGCGACATCAACTTCAAGGAGGTGCTAGAGGACATGCTGCGTTCACTCAATGCTGTGCCGCCCCCAGAGCCCCCTGGCCCCCTGGGAGGCGGTGCAGGGGTGCCAGGGGGTGGGGGGGGGCCCGAGCGGCAGAGCGTCATCCAGTTCAGCCCCCCCTTTCCCAATTCCTAGGCCTGAGCTGTGCCCCAGCCAGGTGTTCTTCCTGGATGAAACTTTTCTGTAATACACCACATCTACACAGATACGGTCTAGCACCAAAGTGGGTGGTGAGCAGGGCTCCGGTCCTGCCAACTACTGAAAGGAAGGGGGGCAAGGGTGCCCCTCATCCAGCTAAACAAGGCCTCCACTGTAGTGCCTTCCTGGTCGGTGCCTGGGCAGATCCGAGATGCTGCCAGCCTGCCCAATGCGGCAGCAGGTGTGTATGTCCCACTCAGGGCTCAGGCAGGGCCTGGGGGTGGAGCTGCCCTCTATGTGCCTCTCCTATCCTGCCCTCCAGGCCTGGGTGGGGCTCCCCTCCCCAGCCCACCTTTTCAGGCCTAGAAACCCCCGGAACCCCTGAAATACACAAAACTGGGTGGCCCCTAAGAGCTGGAAACTCAGGAAACCCCCAGTTCTCAGGGCCTTGTCTCTGGGAGGTTGTGGGAGGCAGACCCCCCCATTAATATATGCAATTCCCCCCTACCTGCTCTCTGCTCCCTAAATTATTGCCCGGTGCCTCTGCCAGACCTCAGAATCTTTCTGGGAGCTGGAGGGGTGGGCAGCCCCTTGTTTCTATGTGTATTTATAATTCAGTGTATATATGTAAAAATATCTTTTTTAAAATATATGTGCCTTTTCACTACTTCCTAGGCTGTCTGCTCCTCTGGCCCACAGGGTGGTAAAGATGGGGGGTGGGGGTGGGGGTGGGGGATGCCTGGTCCCACTTTGGGCAATGAGTTCAGGGGACGGCTACCATCTGCGAGGCAGTTTGTGTGGAACTGGACTGTTTTTTGCCCAGACACTCCTCACTGGGTCATTCATTGCTTTCAGTCACAAGGGCTCATCCCACTCACTGGCCTTGTGGATGACAAGCCAGGCAGAGAAATACACCCACTCACCAGGGCCGCTGCCCACTGTGGTCCTGGCACCAGCGGAAGTCAGCTGCCTTTGGACCAGCTGAGCCAGGCTCGTGATGTCTTGGACCAGACACTGCCTCCTGCCCACTAGAGACACGAAGCCCACCTGGGACCCTCAGAGTGGCGATACCAGTTCCCCAGGCTTTGGCCTTTCCCCCCAGCAGGCAGGGCAGCCCAGAGACAGGAGGCCTCAGGAGCTGGGTCTGGTCTTGAAGGCAGGAATGGATACCAGGCCCCTCCTTGGAGCTGTGGGGAGCACATCAAGCCTCTGGTCCAGGGGCAGGGGCCTGCCTCCAGCCAAGAAGCTGACAAAGGGGCAGAAAGCACCTCCTGCAGGTCCCCACCTACTGCAGGCCTTCCAAAGCTATCGGAAGATGGGGGCCCAGTCACTGTCCAGCAATACCACTCCCCACCAGCTGGCCTCAAATTATTCCCCATCTTAGCGAGGACTGTGGACTACTCCCAGATTACACCAAATGAGGACCTTGAGCAGACTTGGGTGCCCTGGTTCAGGGTCCATACAACGAGGCCAGTCTGTTGAGCAGGCCCTGCCCAGCGTGACTCTGAGCCAGGAGCAACTTGGCGGATGCTGTGCTCCAGGTGCCTGCCTCCCGCACCCCCCACCTTGGCCCACTTGAGACCACTGCCCTGGGCAGGCTTAAGAGAGACCTCAGACATGGCTCTGGGCCAGGAATAGCACCAGTTAAGAAGAATTATCAGCTCTGCCAGTGCCTAAGGGGTAGGTGGGGCTGTCAAGATTAGAAGCAGGGCTGCTGGGTGAAGGCAGTCATCCGAACCTCAAGGAAACTCCACCCCCAAGAGCTCCCGGGGAGGCAGAAGCACCAAGCCAGCCAATTTGTATGTTTTATTCCCACAAGGCAGCCAGGGGTGGAGTGCAGAGCTGCAGAGCCAGGCCGGGCCGAGGGGCCTTCCTCCGGCAGAGGTGCACGCCGGGTTCTCGGGTCTGCCCCACCAGCAGGCTGGTTTTTAGACAGACTGTCATGAGTGCCGGGTGGAAGGCTCGGGGCGCAGGCGGTGGGCTCAGATGTGGGGGGTGCACACTTGTGGAGCTAAAGGTAGCAGGGCAGGTCCTTCTCTATGACCTGTGGGAGAGACAAGGTCAGAACATCTTCCCAAGGCACCACTCCCAGCAGGCTCCCTGGAAAGGCACCTACCTGGGGCTCTTCCATGGGACCGTACCGCTTCACCACACAACCGTTCTTGTCAATGAGGAACTGCCGAGACACGGGGTTTTAGCAGAGGAGGCCCCCGTGGGGCCCCTGCAAGAGGGCTGGGGGCAAGCCACAGCCCCCCACCTGCTGCCCCATTAGGGTCAGGCTTAGGGCCTCTTGGGATAGGAGCAGTGAGCTGGCCTTGGACACAGTCCTGGCCTATTCTGTCCCCCAAAACCCTTCCTTACCTTGGTGAAGTTCCATTTGATGGCACTAAAAAAAAAGCAAGAAGTCATGAGGAAACCGCAGCCTCCCCTCAGCCCCTGGGGAACCATCCTGCCCTGCCCTCTCCTCCCCCCACTTACTTTCCCAGGATGCCCCTCCCCTTGGGCTGGGCTTTCATCCACTTCCACAGAGGGTGGGCATCATCTCCGTTCACACAGATCTTGCTATACATATCGAATTTGACATTATAGCCAGCAGCGAACTCTTTGATCTCTGCATTAGTCCCTGGCTCCTGTGGCAAAGAAAGGTACCCGGGTCAGTGTGTGTGTGTGTGTGGGGGGGGGGGGGGGCGTGTATCCCATTTTAGTCCTCCCGTCCACGGGCAGACCTTCTCCCCACGCACCTGCCTCCCGAACTGGTTGCAAGGGAAAGCCAGGATCCGTAAACCGCACTCAGCATATCGGGCGTGCAGGTCGACAAGCTGAGTGTAGTTTACGTCTGTTTTGCCTCATTGCGAGGCCACGTTGGTGACGATGCACACGAAGCCCCTGGAGGTGGGATGGGGTGGTCAGAGTTGGTGACCTCCCCTCTGCCTCCCCCACCAGGCAGGTAGGTACCTACCGGTACTTGTCCAGGTTAACCATGCGCCCGTCGATGTCCTTGGCTGAGAAATCGTGCATTGACTGAGCACAGCGCCAGTCATCACGGGAGGCGCACTGCAAGACACAGACCGGGGAGCAGCTGAGCGGCTGGGACACCTCGAGGCCCGAAAACCCGAAGACCCCGGCCAACTCGTCCAACCAGGTCCCCACCAGGTCCCCACCGCAGGAGATCCCAGGTGGATCCCTGCTGAGACTGGACCCTGGGCCAAGAAAAAGGCAAGAGCTCCTCCTCCTCAAAGGTGCAGGCAACCTGCGCGCGCAGGGCACATTTAACTGCAGACTCCAGGGCGCAGGCAGGGCTGGGGATCGCACCAGGTGCCCCAGCGGGCAGGGGACACCACCACCTTGTGTGGGGGGCCCTGCGCGCACCGGATCCTGATACAGGTCACAACTGCTACTCTTCCAGGAACGGGGCTCCTTCCGCCGGGGGCGCGTCCTCCTGCGACGGTAAGCTGGAGCCTTCCGACGCCCGGGGGCGCGGCGCCGCCGTCGTTGCTGCCGCCTGCTCGGCAACCGGCGCCGCTGCCTGCAGCGACCCCGGGAGCCGGCGGCTGCGCGGCCCATGCCAGCCCTTCGGACGCTCCTGTGCCCACCAAGTGCGGCATCCGGGGACAAAGGGCCGGTAGCCAGGGCTCCGGCCGCCCCTCTGTGACGCCACCGCGCGGTGTCCCGGGGCGTACAGGGAGGGGGAGGGGCGGTGTCGCCCCGAGGCGCGTGACCCCGGATTAACCAGCCCAAGGGGGCTCCCCCACTCTCCGGGCCCCACCCTGGGGCCAGTGGCCTAGAGGCCCCCCGCTGTCCCGACGCAGCGGCCCGAGGGCCCCGACCGCTCAGCCCTTCACATCTGGCCAAGACCCCCAGCCATGACCCTGCCTGTACCCCAGCCCGCGCGCTACCCACGGTCCCCACGGCCGCCCGCCTGCGCCCCGCCAGCGAGCTCCCACCCAAGGTCGCCGTGGCCCTGCGCGCCACGGTGGAGGCCGCGCGCCCGCCCTAACGGCCCGCCGGCCCGGCCGCCGGCACCGCACTCACCATGGTGCTGGCCACGCCGGGCACGGCAAGAGCACCACACAGAAGCGCTGGCTTCAGCAGGCGGCACAGGCGGCTGAAGCTCATCTCGGCGGCGGCGGGGGCACCCCGGAGGCAGCAGCTCCTCCCCTCGCCGAGCTGACCAATGGACGCGCGCCGGCGCGCCTGCCCTCCCATCCTGAAGCCACGCCCACCGGCGCCCTCATTGGTCAGCTGTGACGCGTGACAGCGACAGCCATTGGGAGGCTGGGGTGAGGGGTGTGTGGGGGCGGGGCCTGAACGGGCTGCGGTATTGTTGTTGTCTGTGACTGCGCATGCTCGCGGGCGGGTGGGCGGCCGCCTCCACGCCAGCGGCTCGTTGGTGGCCCGTTGACAGTTACCGGGTAGTTGACCACAGCGCCGCGGGGAGCCACACAACCTGAGAAACTACTGGAAACCCGAGGGGAGGGGTCTTGAACTTGCAGAAAAATCGCTCCAGCTCATTGAAAACTGGGATTTTGATTTTAATGTCAATAAAACCAAACTCGGGACTGTGCGAGGCCCCTCGGCTCCATCCGGGCGTCCAGGAGGGCCTGGGGTCACCTAGAGGCGGGTGTCCCCGGCCAGAGTCGCCCACTGCCGCAGTGTCCGCCAGCGGGGGGCGGGGGAAGCTTCACGGTCCTTTAGCCACTTATCTAGGTCACACCTGAGCCCTGGCGGGGGTGGGGGGTAGGCGGAGTCATCAAAACGGGCTCCGTGGCATTCCCCCCCCCCCCCCCAGGGAGAACAGGTGGGGATGCCCAGGTGTGTGCTTACAAGGAAAATAACCCCCGAGCGAAGTCTCCACTTCTACATTACAGGCGGTGCGTGCACAGCACTGGAGGGCCCCACCTCTGGGCTCAGGCACTTGGCCCCAAGGGCGGAGAAAAATGACCCACCTCATTCTTGGGACCTGAGTCATGGAATTCCACAGCAGGCCTGGCTGCCCCCATCCCCCCAGCCATGACTGGAGCTTGACCCTGGGACTGCAGAGTGGTTGCAGCATTTTTGTGTTTTGTCAACTTCTTGTCCCTTTGTTGGACCCTCCAATGAACATTTCTGCAGAAACGGGGGGGGGGGGGGGGGGGGGACCTCTAGGGGCTGGGTTCGTAGAGGAAGAATGTTCCCCTGCCCGGTTGCTCCACGCCCCTTCTTACACAATGGTCTTTATCATGGCTTCTTTACTCCAGCGCCTCCATCGTTCTGGGAGTCACCCCTGGGGGTGTGGGCATTGTTTCAGCTGGGCCTCCTCACTTCTCAGTTACCGGGTAGTTTCCCTTCTCAGAAAACCCTCCTCAGTTCCTCCCCTTGGCAGCACTGAGTATCCCAGACAGTCTGGTCCTTAGGGAAGACTCAGCTGTTTCCACTTTTGTTTAAATTTGATCCATTGTTATTCGCTGTTATCCATTTCCCAGGAAAACAGTACAGGGTGAGCCCCCATGGAGTACAGCAAGGGTAAGAGATGGAGGGTGGGGACTTCACCCCTTGCCTGACTTTGTCCCACATACATAGAGGAACAGGGGAGGGGGACCCCAGCGCCAGCTCCCTGTGGGGAAAGTGCACCCCAGGCTCTAGGAGGGATTTGCCTTTGAGGTTTCACAGCTTTTGCCAAAGGGACCCCTTCTTACAGATGGAATTCATGGGGTCTTGGGCCAGTCTCAAGGCTTCAGAGAGGCTCCTGTGGTGGCTGAAGTCCCTCAGTAAGGAAAGTGAGTTGCCCACTGGCCAGAGGCCTTTCCCGAGCGGCAACCAATTCCAGGAAGGACTCAATCCCCATTGTGGGGCATGCAGGAGGCAGCCGGTCAGAGATTCTCTCTCATCGTTGATGTTTCTCTCTCTCTCCCCTCTCCCTTTCTCTCTGAAATCAATAATATATATATGAAACCCTGTCCCCATTAGCAGTCACTCCTCATCATCGTTAGCAATCATTAACCCACTTCCTGTCTGTGGATTTGCCTGTGTATGGTAAATAAGAACATGGTCCCTTCCCAAGCTCCAACTCCTCCCCGACCCCCACCCCCACCCCCGCAGGAAATAAAAGTGAAGGCTTCAGTAAGGGGACTGTGAGACCTTGTGTTGTAGGCACCGCTCACAGAAGACCAGAGTGATCTTATCAAACAGCATCTTGAGACAGGAGAGGGCTGTCCCACCCTGGTTCTTGTCTTCTCCTATAAATGAATGTAAATGAGAGGCCCTGATTGTATTGTGATAAAACCAATTTATTAAGGTAATCAAACTTATTAAAGAAGGCAAGCAAATCTATCATCTGGCATAGCACGCACAAATGGGCTCTCAACTAATCTGAAGAGCAAGTTGGTTAGTGAAAGATGAGACAGAGGGGCGAAGACCAGGACTACAGGCTTCATTAGAGGAGAAGGACCCCGCCGGGCGGTCTTGCAAAGGAAGAGAGCACACGTGCTGGGGTGAAGGTGCCTTTTGAGGGGAGGAAAGGGAAGGGGTGGGGCTTAGGGTACTTGGCATGCTCTGATTGGTGATTTCACATAAGGCACATGATTAGGCACTTAGGTACTTAGGAATCGGGGGGCTTAGGGTGATAGATTAATTAAAGAAGTAACTGAGACCGGGATGCCAGGAGACAGGCTTTTATTGGAGAGAGGGGTACCTCCGCCAGCTGCTTCCAGAGAGAAAAAGAGCGGATGGCACCCGGGGGTCTACTTTTAAGGGGAGGATAGGGGACGGGGCTTAGAGTACTCAGCACACGCTGATTGGTGGTTAGGGACCTAGGGGCTTAGGAAGCGGGGGCTTAAGGTATTTGGCAGGGGCTGATTGGGGGTCCAGTGCTCAGGTATGTCTGGCCGCAGGTGGGGTTTGCATCTGCCCATCAATTGAAGGAAGGGGACATCTATCATAGGGTATTTAGCAGGTGCTGACTGGTGGTTCAATGTACGATCCATATAAGGCGTGTGGTTAGTTGCTCAGGAATGTTTGGGCTGCAGGTGCAGTTTATTTCATACTCTGTCCATCAGTTGGGGGAAGAGAGAATCTATCATTCCAGGCTTTTGGTAATATTAAAAAAAAAAAATTGAGAGTCCAGGCAAGGTCAAGGGGTGAAGGTCCGTCTTCCATAGCTATTTCCAGCTGAGAGGCGGCGTTGTTAGGGGTGTCTACCCAGGGTCTCAAGGATTCTGGTGTTTGGTTCTGAATTCAGTGCCAGATAGATCTCTCCCAACTTCTGGTTGGCGAACGCCTGCATTCTGTTCTGCAAGAAACTAGTAAAACAGCGCATGAGACAGGGGCCAAAGAACAAAATTAAGAGTATAAATACCAGTGGGCCTAATAATGGGAGGAGCCATAGAGTAAGTGATCCAAAAATGTCGTACCCCTCTAGGTGTAACCCTTCTAGCTGGTTACGTCTTTAGTCAACCCTGTCCCAGAGGGATTTAATGTGATCTTTGACAATTCCTGATTCATTTGCAAAGTAGCAGCATTTTTCCTCAGGAAAGACACAGGTCCCCCTTTTTTCTGCTGTCAAGAGATCTAAAGCCGCCGATTCCATAGACTGCAGCTAAGGAGTCTACCTGCCTTTGCAGGGATTCGAGGGAACTGCTAAAGATGGAGATAAATTCTGAAAACTCAGCAGACCATTTTGGTAGAAATGAACAGAGGAGGAAATGCCCCCCACTCCTGTCCCCACTGCAGTGAGGACTCCCGTGCCCACTACGAGGGGAACAAGGGCCACCCTTTAGTGACGAGGTCTGAGAAGACCAAGAGAGGATTGAGTTCTCCCTCTGTTCTGATGGAGAGATTGGGGGTGAGGAAGACACAAAGACAGAGCGGTGTGGCAGGTCGTGAGGGGCACAGGTGTAGGCTGCAGTCCCGCAGAGGAGAAAAATACCCAGTGGGGGGCAGGCTAAGGGAGGGGGTAAATTTATAGCTTGTGTGCAGTAGTAAGGTACAGGGGTAGTTGAGGCAGTAGTTTGAGAAGTATTTGTTAAATGGGTGGTATTTTCTGTATTAAAGAGAAAAATGTTGTATAGGGTGCGTTGAGGTCTGCTATAGGTAAGAGTTAAGTTAATGGTCCAATAGGTTGGGGTTGGAGTGGCTATGATAAGGGTTCGAGCCAGTGACAGACAAATCCAGCAGGATGTAGAAGAGGGATTGATGTTAGAGAGTAGATGGAAAGTTGTGTCGATGAGGGTGGGCAAAGGAGTAGGTCCAGGGTTCGTAGGGCAAGAGAGAATGTCCTTTAGTGAGGGAGGGATAGGTCGGGGATTAATATAAGGCATATGATTTGACACTTAGGGACTTAGGAATCGGGGGCTTAGGATATTTGGCAAGTGCTGATTGGTGGTTCAATGTGCAGACCATATAAGGTGCCTGGTTAGGTGCTCAGGAATGTCTGGGCCACAGATGCAGGTTATGTCATACTCCGTCCATCAGTAGGAGGAAGGGAGAGGGTTTGAGGCATTATATACCCTCTTGCCTATAGTTTTTAAAACTCCTCTGCTGAGGCTGCCAGGCTGGGTGCAGCCAGGCCCGGAGCAGCGGCTGCCAGGCTGGGAGCGGCCAGGCCCGGGGGAGCAGCCGGGTCGGGTGCGGCCAGGCCCGGAGCAGCAGCTGCCAGGCTGGGAGCGGCCAGGCCTAGAGCAGCAGCAGCCAAGTCCAGAGCAACTATGTTGGGAGCGGCAGTGACCAGACCCGGAGCAGCTGGTTGTGGAACGAACCAGAGCAACAGAGGCCAGGCCCTGAGCAGCCAGGCCCGGAGCAGCTCGCTCCTTGCCTGCCCCTGCCCCACGGCTGCTTCTCAGACATGGCTGGAAACTTTCGTGGGAACTTGAGGGTCTGCTGAATCAAGTGATGAAGGCTTAGATCTGGATGTGTTGAATTAGTTTAGGGCTGGGGTGTTGATCTGTGAGTGCCTTGGGTGGGGCCTGGATGAGGCTGGTGGACCTACTGGGAAATGTCTTTTGTGTGAAGTGTATCATTGGGCATGTGGAGGTATTATTGATATGAGAAAATGCTAAGTAACTGATTTACTATCTGAAAAGGGATTTACTATTGGGAAAAGGGAGGGAAGAAGAGACTGAACATAAACTGCACCTATGGATGAGGACAATGGGGGATGGGGAGGAGGCGGAGGGTGGGGTGGGAACCTGGTGGAGGGGGGAAGAAATGAGGAACCTTTGTAATAATATGAA